TCAGAGATGTATCTGCCTTGAAAATAGGCATGTTGAACTATATAGCCTGGTCAAACATCATCAGCTGACCCCAGGAAATATTTTGTGACATTTTGTCTTACAATAATTCTATATCATTAAATTTGCCCAATTTCAATTCCACAGAAGCCATAGGTTCCGGATTTTGGACTATAAGCCCATTTCAGGTACCTTGGTTCAAAAATGATTGCCCTTCTTCAGTGGGCATTCTTTTGCCCACTGAAAACTTAGAGACAAACAGGAGAACTTTAATAGGATATAGATATCACTCAGATTACCTTCATAAACAGAGTCTGCAAGACCTTGTCTAAAAGTGCAAAATTATAAAGAGAGAAAAAATGGAACTATTCCTAGCACAATAAGCCCTATGTGGATCTCAGACAAGCCAGGGGAGAGAGAAAGAGTACTTGCAGGGATGTTTAATTTATTTATTTAACATATTTATTAAGCTGCCTGCAGTGGTGGAATTCAAATAATTTAACAATCGGTTCTCTGCCCTAATGAATGGCTGAGTAGGTGTGGTTGAGTGGTCATGTGACTGGGTGGGTGTGGCCAACTCAATGTCACTCACATCAAGGGTGGCTTGCGTTGCATGGCTGCTCCCCTCATCTCCCAAATTTTTATACAAAATGGACTTGCTTGAGAAACTGACTCCATGTCACTTGGTTTAAATCTGATTCAAACTAACCTAATTCACCTCCATGAGTCAAGTATCAAAGCTAATTGTACCAACCATATCCCGTAACTACAATCTATTAAAACTGCAAGTAGTCCTCAACTTATGACCACAATTAGGATCAAAACCTATGTTGCTAAGTGGGGCATTAAATGAGTTGTACCCAATTTTATGATCTCTTTTTTCACAGTTTTTAAGCAAACCCATGATTGTTAAGTGAATCCAATTTCCTACACTAACTTTGCTTGTTGGAATCCAGTAGAAGAGGTAGTAAATGGCAATCATTTGATCCCAGGACACTGCAACCATCATAAATACATGCTGGTTGCGATGTGCCTGAATTTTGAGCACACAACCACAAGGATTCTGCAATGATTATTAGTGCAAAGACCAATCTAAAACTACTTTTTTCAGCACCGCTATATACTAACAGTTGCTAAGCAAATGGTTGTAAGTCAAGGACTATCTGTATTTACATAAAGTACATTCCCAGCCGTTCCACAAGCATATTTTCTGACTCATGTACCTTTTACGTCATAGATCGAAAACCTGTGAAATAGTCTTTATCTTCCCCTGAGGATAACTTTTGCACCTGCCTGTTTATAGTTACTTAATAGTTACTTAACAAAAAACAGATTTTTGTTTTGTTTTGTAGATATGGGAACACCTTGGATATACAGTCAATTTTTTTAACTCCCTATTGTCCAATGAGCACATTAACAAAATTAAGGATTTATTACTAAATGCAGTGGATTTCAAGAACTATTTCTAGTTATGAAATATTTATTATTAGCTTGATTAAGAAATAAGTGCTATCAATTGCAAACATACATAGAGTACATTATATAAATTTAGCATTTTTACGTTAGCTTTATTTTCCAAAGATATAATGCCAATTATAAAGATTGTTTCACTGAGCGGCTTCATTTGAGAAATGATTCCATACCATAAATTCATCTGTTTTTTGAATTTACAGTTGACCAAAATATAAAGATTATTGCAAATTTTGCATTTTGTGTTTTGGATTTGATAAATTACTACCTAAAATAATGATGGCAGGGTTCAGCTAATTGTTCTAAGAAAAACATAATAAATGCACTTTTATGCGCCTTCAGTTTTTTTTCTTGCTTTTGAAATATTACATTTAGCAACAATAAAAAAGATAGTTTTAGTACAAAACTATTATTTTTGCACCTTTAAGTCTTTTCATTCTAAAATAGAAATAATAGAGGATGAAGCTGCAGAAGCTAAGGATGACGCAAGAAGTGAACAGCAATTTCAACTTCTCCAAATTTCCCATCCCCTACTTATTCTGGTAGCTGCTTTTTCCCTCCCATCTCCAGGGCTGCCCTGCTCAAAGTTGAGGAGGATCAGGACCCTTCATTGCGCCTCGTTACTCTTCGCTTCTCCCTGCTATGGTCCGCCGCCGCTGCCAGCACGTCTGCTGCTTGTTTAGCGGGGGTGGCCTTGGCTATAGCAGGCAGCTTTGTTTTGTTTTTTTTACCACTGATCCATCGGAATGAAGGCAGAGGAAATGCACAGCTGGGCGCACTTGGCGGCAGAAAGCGCGTGTTTCGTTTGCCGCTGCCAAAGCCACAGACTAACTGACCCGATCGAAGCTGAGCCCAATGTAGGGAGATTGTGGGGTTAGTTTGGCCAGGCAAATTACCCCCCCCCTATAAAAGTGGAACCTGGGCGTGGCACTGCAATGTAGAAACGGGCAAAAAAACGGAAAAAGCAGGGAGAAGAGAGGGCCGCTCCGTTGCCCATTTTGCCATTGCAGCACCGCGCTGCGGAGCATGCCCCACCCACCACCACCCAGATGCCTTTGCCTACCTGATTTCCAGCTCCATCGCATTTCTCAATCATGTTTGTCGCCATCGTATGCAAGGAAACTAAAGTTTGTGAGACTAAAAAAAAAGTTTACTCAGTCAATTCCAACTTTGCAAGACCTTTTTTTTTTTTTTTTTACAAAAAGTTGGAATTGATTGATTGAACTTTCTTTTTAATCTCACAAACTTTTGTTTTCTGGCAGATGCGGGCCAGGAGGGAGGGTGCAGAAACGACGGCAGCTCTGGGAACACCTGCAGGGGAGGGGGAAGAGTGCTGGGCTGGGCCTGGGCCTGTGGAGGGAGGGAGGGAGCGATGCCCCCTTGCCCTGCCCACCTGCAGACTGCCACACCCGAAGAGGCTGTCCAGAAAACTGCGGAGCGCCAGCAGCAGTTTGTGGATCATGACGCGGTATGGGAACCAGGACTACGCCCCTCTTCACAGGAGCCCCAACGACACCTCCAGCCTTCTTAGGGGAGAACTGGCTCTTGAGTGCTAGATTGGTCCTCTGAAAAGCCCGTTGTCAGCCAAGGACCCTAGCTGAGGTTTCACTCACTGCCTGCTGAGGCGCTGGACTCCCAGTGAAGGATGGGGTCTTTCAGGCACTTAGTTTGGCTGCCATTTTAGTAGCTTCAGCCCCTCCAAAATGGCCTCAGAGAAGGCCAGGCAAGGAGTGCCGGGGAGGGGAGGGGCGGCCACATGTTGATTCAGCCAGTTCGCTGAACTACACACAGAGTTAACAACTGGTTCAGCGAACCGGCTGAATCCTACCTCTGGCTGCCTGTCTCATGCATATGACTGGGCAACACACAAAATTCAGTCAAAGCCATTATAAGCCATTATAAAAACAAAAATATTATAAATATACTCAAAGCCTCTGGAAACTTCATTCAAAATTCTACATATAATATAGCCATTTCCAGTTTCCTATTTCTGTAGGATCAGTAAGCTCACTAACAAAACCATATTTTAAGGGCTTTCCAGAAGTGAATAGAGTTAGAACTGCCAGCTGCCCACCCCCTCAAAAAGATGGCATGCATGCAAGAACCCTCCCTGAATTTCTACATTGGACTATGCAAGTGGATCAGGAATAGCTTTGTTTGGAGAACTGCTTTGACTTTTTTATGGTTTGCCTTGTCTTGACATGTCTAGGCCAAGTGGTGAATTAGCCATGGTGAACTAGCCATTATTTCCTCAGCAAACCATATTTGTACCATGCACCAGTATAAAATATTGATAAATTGTTCCATGTCTTAACTCTTTCTTATTAAAATATTTTCTTAACTAATCCAAGGATTTCCTACTAATACAATAAGAAAATTTAAAATTGCATCTGTGGAAAGTTATCATCCAGCCCTTTCCCAGAAAAATGAAATATCCTAGGAAATATTGAAATGGCAGAATATTACATTTCCCTGAATGTGAAAAGGAAGAAACATGCCCCCACCCACTTTGTCAATGGGCCATTAAGCTGGCC